CAGTTTGCCGCCATCATGTCTTATCACCAGAGATCAATTATAGCTGACGACTGTCGACGACAAATGTTTCACCATTTGTTAATACTTGACCACCTCAAAGTTTCTATAAAAAGATCTGGTCTCATATCCACATATTGATATCATTTTTCCACGTTTATTAGAATTCAATAAATTTGTTGAAAGGGAGAGAATTATTATAGCTTTTGCTTACTTCCCCTTGCGACAGAATTGTTTATGTTGACGGGGAAATTAAGAGGGGTCACTCCAGTATCTGTCCGCCGACCTGTCATGGTTTGTTTGGCGTTGACCATTTTTGCATACTTTCTGATTATTTTCCTTGATCATTCTTTGTTAAAATTAACAGAATAGCATTAGACTGGACTGATCAAGAGGAAGAAAACCAACCATTCCCATCTGAGGTCCCAATCGAAATAAGCCGCATTGCTGCTGTTTTTGTTGCTGTTGGTTTGTATTTTGTTTGTTATTTTTATTTTGTTGCTGATTTTGCTCAAGATTGACAATAAAACGAAATATATCAGACGAGTACGGCCGAGTGCTGGGGTAAAACAAACACATGGGTCGCCAGCACTCGGAGAACAAGCGACGCTTCAGTCACAAGTTCATGTTGACGTCCATTGTTACTTTTTTACAGATTGGGTAAACAGTGACCACTCGTCTCACTTACGATTTGTGTATGACTTCTGGGTGGGGTTTTTGGGTTATGAGGGATCACACGCTTACCTCACCAGCAGCTGAACATTGGTACCTATTGGTCAACAGTGGGCGAGGCCTACGCAATATGATCGGGTGGAGGGACTATCTGACAACAACGACAGGTGATCGGATTATGACGGCTCGCCCACAACGCCAGGGGCCAATGCACAATTTATGACAAAACGTAATGAAGTCACTGAGTTGGCCGTCTAAGACAGGTGTTATTGTTTAGTGTGATATGGGTTGTGTGATAAAATATGGTGGCTGCGGCTGCGTTGGACAGGTGCCCGTTTTACACAGTTAAATTATATAGAAAAAACGCAAGGGGGAAATGGAAAGAGGCCGTTTGTACAGGTGGCTGTCTTATAGAGTTGGCCGTCAGGGCAGGTTCGACTGTACACAGACGATTGGGGACTGTCGCTGTATGTAGATTGGCCACAAAGCTATCCAAGAGCTGGCATTATATTTTGTTGAAACGTCGAACTTTCCAGAAATTCAAGTAGTTCTCACGGCTCGTGGACAGATTACAAAACCGCCGGTAGTCTCAAAGGGGTAGCGTCTGGATGTCCAGTCGTCCATTACGCCGGTGACGTAATCTTCATAGACACTGACCACGGGTCAACCTACCACCCCCGCTCCTACGGTGGTTTCTGGTTTGATAACAAAAGACTGAGCAGTAGTCACGAGGTGGGATTACGGGCACAAAGAAGGAATTAAATTTTATGACATCACAATGGACAGCTTGTTTAAGGCCCGCGTCATGGCTTATCGACACAAATAGACACAAATAGACACAAATAGACACAAATAGACACAAATAGACACAAATAGACACAAATAGACACAAATAGACACAAATAGACACAAAGTAACGGAACATTTTAGTGGACAGTTTTTGGTGTATACCGAACACTTACACTTGAACACGTGTTGAAAAGTAACACAATTATTGAAAGTTCAACGATACAACACAGTTCGACACGAAATCTCTTTTCGAAAAAACAACGTAATGGCGTTGAAATGGCTATTTTTTAATTATTTTTTTAAAATATATTTTTTGTAAGTGTTTTCAGAGACGAAAAAATAGAGACGCATCACTCCTCGATTTGGGCGAGATTGGGGTCAGGCATCCGGTGAAAGTTTCACGCCGTACAACTAATAGTCTGTTCCTTACAACCCAGGAATCGACGTATTGTTTTCATAGAAAATTAAGGAAGGGGGTTTGTCTGAATGGGTTTTAGACACCATTTCTCTTTCTTTACCGTCACGTCAAACCATCATCCACACATGAAAGATGGAGTCAGAACATTTTGGTAATTCTAGTCAATGATATGACTGACTTGACCTTGACCCACGTGATTTGATTTCATGACAGTGATGTCACATCACACACCAAATCGGCAATGTTTTTCCACACATGTGAATTTGGTATCATTTATTGTCTCTCAAGTTGTATCACATAGGCCTACCTTGGCGTTGAGGTGGGAATACGAAATTGCATGTAAACTGCAAGCTATCTTCTAAATACTAATTACAGACGGCCTTATCTTCAGTGACTTATTCAAAGTTTTAGGGGGGGGGGGGGCATCAGAGTGCACCTTCCTTGGGTGAAAAATGTAGGCCTACTACATATTATTATGAAAAGGGGTGGGGGGTGGGGGGTG